GGAAAAATTTTATGTTTTTTCTCCATCTTGTGATACTTCTCTTATTTTACAGCTTTGTTAACTAAAACTAAATTTGTTAAAAAAACAGAATTTTGTTTATATCAAAACATAATTAAAAACTAAACGTAACTGTGGTTAAATTTATTTTTTATATTATTTAATTTCATTATACAACATAATACAAGAAGATTTTTGTTACTAAATATTAAATCTCTGTCTTTCATTCATCTATCAATTTGCACAAATAAATTGATAAAAACTTAGACGTACCTAGTAAGTTTTGATTAAAAGGCCGCTTTAACATGTTATTTACCCATATTTGAGAGCTCAGTCGGGCAGAAATCTTTGATGCTCTTCTAGTTCATTTCTTCACACTATTTTCTTGACTTTTCTACAACGTCATAAAAATTAGAGGTAGTCTCATTTTAATTTAATTATTTGTCCCATATCGAGGCTATTTTATGTTTCATGTTCTAACGAGTTAACGTGCGACCTTAATCTTGTGCATATAATGGTTTTTTGTTATCCAACTGCATCGACACATTATATTCTTAAAAATTATTTATAGCCTTTTAATTATTATTTTTAATTATAAATAAGTATCCAGACTGCTGGAAAGTATCTTATTGGTATTGGAGAAAGTTTGGTGACAACTGCAACGAACCCCTGAAAAGTAATATCTTTATTTAAAAGACTTTTTAATTTAATTCACAATTCATAACGCCAAATAGTTTAACCAAAACGAGAATAGTATTCATGAATAATTTTAATAGACTAGCCTTATTTTGCCACAAAGATAGCAACTTTAACATATAGTTGTGCTTCTTGCGCACAAAAATGGCTTTGATGTGTCTTAAAATTTGAGTGCTGCGATGAGAGATATAATACAACTTCTTCTACTTTTTGTGCTTGTAAATATGGTACCACAACTATTGAAGATATTTTTACTCAAATAAATTTATTAGATAATAGTTCTTTTTCTTCGTATTTTGACGGGTAGAAATAAATTTTAATATTTATAGCAAAATAAATTAAATGTGGTAAACAACATTACAAAAAGCAATTAAACGTTGAAATTACTATACATTAAAACTGAATGTATAATAAATTTGATTAAAGTAAGAAGAAGATGAATAAAAAGTCCCATCTATACTAAATTTAAATCTATTATTTCTGCAAATTTAAAATATGAACTCAAAACATCCACAATATCTTTTTTTCTCGTTAAAAATTATAAAATAAAAAAGTTGTATTATATCTGAAATATTTGGCAAAAATACGGCCAATGACGGGTATTTCTTTATAATGCTTACTGTTTTGCCGGCTGTTCCAGCCGGTCCTTCAAAATAGAAGTTTTGTGTTTATAAAATGATTAATTTAGATATGTTCTGCTCTCACACCCTAAGTCGTTTTCTTCCAGCATATCCTTGTCATAACCCTTAGGCGAAGTTCTAAACTTAAAATAATTTTCTAAAATGCATTTATTATGAAAAAATGGTTTATTATTAAAATTTCTTTTAATATTTTTCTTTTGTACATTTCCTTTTATAATTTTATTGGGGATAAAAAGCTATTATTTTTTATAGTAAAATATTCTAAATAAAAAAAAAAGAACATATGGCAGGATATCACAATCCTGTACATTTTTCTTGCTTGTAGCTTTTTAATAAATATTTAAACCAGTGAAAATAATTAACTGTCATAAAGAAAATGTCCTATCATTATATTCAATAAATTGTGACTATAAATTTAATAACAAAATGACTTTAATATTTGGTTATAAAAAATGAATGTATAGTTATTAACAATAATCCACATTATCTAATATCGTATGTTAAATACATTTTCATAAAACATGTTTATTTAAAATAATTTCTTTTATGCTTTTTTCCTTGATCTTGTGTCAGATCAAAATATGAACTAGATCTCTGTACCAAAACTTCCTAATTCTTATTATGTCTTAATAAATATAATAATAGCATATTTACTACAACTATAAAACATGTTTCGTCTTTTAATCACAGTTCTCAACATCTTAAATAAATAATATTAAAATTAAATGCAAAAGTGTCCAGTGATGACGAATAAAAATCTCTTTTTATTAAAAATCCAAGCTGTTACGAAATCACGAGGTTAAAATTGGTAAAAAAAATCGCAGTATTTTGATGCCTATAACAAATACATTCAAAATTTGTATATTATTTACCCCAACGCAGAGAGCAAATTTCTGTGCAATCACATTAATTCGTTACAACAAATTATAATGCAATTTAACAATAACCTCCAAATAATAAAAATGACTACGTGCACCATTGACTGCTAAAAGATACTTGGATTGTGCTTTACACGAAACACTACAACATTTTGTTAACAACCTTCAGTAATAAATATCATCATGCGCTTCTTTCAAATAGTAAAAAAGAACAATATTAGCTGCAAATGTTTTATTTCTTTGATAAAAATTCATTCAATAAAATTTTCTTTTCTTATGCATCCCAAAAAAAAAATAATTTTTCTTTAGTACAAACTGATTCAAGCCTCCATACTTTGATTTAGTTTACTTTTCTTATCAGTAGACTTAACTTTAAACTATAGGAGCGTTTAGCACATAATTAGATAAAAATTCTCTATTCTGTACTTTTTTATTTCGTAATTATCCTCTTAACATCTTCTATATTAAATTTACTGTACTAAATTTTTATAATCATATCTTTATTGTTCTCTAAATACTTAAGAAGGCTATTAGATGTAAAATTGTTAATGTTACGATTAATTATATAATTTCTAGTCTTTGATAATTTACATAGCAAAGATATGTCAAAAACATCAATAGATAGTCTACCAATTAAATAATAAAACTTATCCTTTCTATCTATTGGAATATTATCAAACATACTATTGATCTTAAATAACCATTCATGTACATCTGTAATAACAGGATTGTCAATAAAATCTTTTTGTACACTTCATTTAGATATATGGTACAGTTCATTTATTTTTTCTAATATTTCTGACATGGGGGTAAAAATTATTATGTTTTTTTATGTCTTATCTTTTCTCTTAAGCTATAAACTTCCATGTCCAAATATTCTAAATGTTTTTCGTAATAAGATATTGTCTTTTCGAGTGAATGCACATCTTCTTGTAAATTATTAACAGCTTCATATAAATTAATTGACAAATTTTTGTTCTTGTTTATTTTAAACGGTAAAAAGTGGCAAATGTAAAAAAAATATAATCTTATGATAATTTAAAGACATAAAGCTAATTAAAGAAAAAGAAACAAAAAACTTAAAAATCTGTTTGCATAAAATGCCATTTCCAGAACATTGATAGCATTCTAGTAATATTTGCAGGTAGGCGGCCGGAGTTAAGAAAGTTCTCCAACACGCAGGTTATCCTACCTATAGAATAACATTTATTAAACGATGATTATTTAAATGTCCTTGTGGACCATAATAAAGGCTCCTATGAGCTACCCTGTGGCTTCTGTTTGATTCGTAATTTCTGTTCATGCACCCTCCTTAAAAATTGGGGTGAAAATAATTTTTTTTACAAAAACTTTACAATTAATATGATAAACAGCAGTATATTAATTCATGTAGTAAATATTACCACAAGTATATAATTTATTGATTATAAAAAATGAATTTTTTTTGATAAATAAATACTTTTGTGTTTTAAAAAAAAATGTTATAATAAAGATCTATAATTTTATACTAACCTTTGCACCCTGTGTCCTAATTTTATGATAATTCTTTGTATCAAATAAATAAACTTTGCGAGTAATAACGTCAAATTTTATTGAAATATTTTTAATAAATTATCTGTAGATCAACCGATGCTTATAAATAAACTTAACAAATTATTTATATACTAAAGTATTTCATTTATACTAAAATGAATGTACAAGTTTTGACTTGCGACTGCTTTTACTTTATAATGATATTTTGCTTGTATCTTAGTAATCCACAATTTTAAGTACAACAAACACAAAATAATCATGTGCAACTTAGGCAGTAAAATTAATTATTGTGGTTATACTAATAAATATATATTTTTATTTCTATCTATCAAAATGACAACAAAGGAAAATTATTTTAAATAAATTATTTGACTAGAAGTATCTTCAGTGGTTGTAAAATGCCACAACTGTATATTGTAAAGTTTTAGACATATAACAAGGTTTACATCTTAAAAATAATAATATTTAAAAAAGCTTTTTACATATTTTTACTATGCTACTATTTTTTCTTTAAAACTACACACATTAATATTTTGACTAGATACAATTATAAAATTTACTATGATATGTAAATAAATACACCAAATACTTATTTTGCTATTTACTTTTCTATTTAAATTTAAGTCCTGTATACCACTGTGTTTATTAAATAATAATAAATTCATTCTATACTCGTTATTTAACATTTTTAATATCACTGTACTGTATTCCCAAGCCCATTTAACTTTCTTATTAGACACACTATTTATGTCATCTCTAAAAATATTTGGAATAATG